ACAAACTCACTACGTGTCATTTAGCACTCCTAAGACTTTCTTTTGACTAGAGTCCGTAGATGGCTATGTTGGTATTATAATGATAAAATTATTTTCCACAGTAAAATAAATTACAATTATGTCTTCTAGTGTACATAATTCTTACAGTAGTATAAAACGTATTTCAGTTTTTTTAATAATCAATTGTATGAAATTGCTCACAATAAATGGTTACTTACAGCACCATAGGGTAAAATATTATTTAAATTAAGTCATTTATGTTCACTTTATTATAATTTTGAAACATATGAATGTTCAATACTATTTGATGAGCAAATTTATGACCTGAAAAGCTTACCAAATGTGCTAACTCTACTACTATCTATACCCACTTGGACGAAACCTATCACCTTTTGTTTCTCTCCACATATTGTATGTCTAACACAATACCATCAAAAACATCCTTTTTTGCTTATTAGTATAGCTTCTGCCATGCAATGGGACACTTATCTGATGAAGTCTGTATCAGGGGAAAAAAATGCTACTTAGTATAGATAGTTCTTTCTCCTTACAAAACACATCATAATGTTTATATCTTTGTCTGTCAGACATGTTGCTACTTTCTTTGTTGTATAGCTCACAAAGGGCAAAATAATTAATTAGCAGAAAATACTACAGAGGAATTAAACCCGAGACTGCATATGCCTTCCTTTCATTAGTCACTTCTGCTTCCAGAAACCAAATGGCAGAAACATACATTCCTCTTTCAGCCAAGATTGCCCCTTTGGGAGTGAGTGGAGCAGTTCATGTTAGAAACGTCCTTTGTTCCCTTCACTTAGGTATCGGAGCAGTTGGGCATGAGAGATAAATCATTTACTGTTTGCCTTAATTCAATTTGTATTTCACTCTAGAGCAAGGTGCTCAGAATTGCTTGATAAAGCAAATAAATAGAACTTAAAATAGTTACAGATATTAATATCCTCATGGTCTCAGAAGGAAGCAGCATAGCAGGTGTATGAAAACAGCCTGGAATATTTCACTCAGAAATCTGAAAAAGGCTGGAACTGAAGTTCAGCCCAAAATTGCACTCAGGGACTGTCTCTTCCAGGCTGACAGTGCCTGACCCAAAGCCCAGAGCTATTTCTAGCTTTAGAATTCAGTGTAACAGGCAGCAGCTATCAACACCCCCTGCATTGTCTCACACTGGTGATTACTCCTGTTCTCATAAAGAAACCTTCCCATTCTTGTATGACCATCTATTCAGAGAAACCAAGAGTAAACTGGCTCTTAGCCTTTGCCTCCAGCTTGTTGTTGTGCCTTTCCGTGGAGTCACATCACATCAAAGTGATGGAGTTGTTTCTTTTTGTTTATTTTTTTTCTCTAGGGGTCATTGCTTGCATTCTGGATGCTGACAGCCTGAAATGACTGAGTCACCCCCAACAGACGTTTAAGATTATTCCTCAAAGTGAAGTTAAGCTCAAAACACCATTAGCCATTGTTAAAGAAAATCTAATCACAATATTCTATTTATACTCCGGCGCCCCGGCTGTGCCCCCCTGCACCTCGCCCTGTGCCCACACCCCATAAGAAGCTCACGCTTCTCCTTGGAAGTGACAATTACCTTCTGGCGCTGAGAAAGCCTTCAATTATGACCCTGTGTCCCCGTGTCTCCATGGTGATCCCATGCAAACCGCCTGCCTCATTAGACTTTACTCCCCCAGCACCCCACGTAAGTAACCAGCCGGCTCCGCCTGCGCCTCACCGGAGGGTTTCGCCGGGCCCCGTCTCCCGGCGCCAGCCGCGCCCCCCGCCAGCTTACTCGGTGGAGGATCGCGGGGATCGCAAAGCCGCGGGAATTACTCCGCTGCAGCCCCGCTCCGAGCGCAGCGGCTGCTCCATTCCGGCACTCGCTGCGGAAAACGCGCTCCCTGTCCCCTGCCTGGCCGCGCTGCTAATCGGAGGATGGTCTCGGCGCGCCTCTGCCCGCCCCCCGCCCGGGCGCTGCCAGTACCTGAGCGCTCCCCGGCGCCGGGGCCCGCGGGGTCGGTGAGGATGCTGGGGTCACTCTGAGACCTGCCTCTCGGGGGAAAGCAGCCGGTCCCTTCTTCCGATGCAGCCATGAGGTGGAGGGCGGGAAGCTTAAAGGCGGGGGGAGGAGGAAGCGCTCATGGAGCCAGCGGCGGCCGGGGGACAATGGGGACGGGGGTGCGGCGGCGGCGGGGCGTCAGCCGGGCAAGACCAGCCGCGGCAGCAGCATCTTCCCCTGCACCGTCGGCAGGCTGCGGCGGGGCGCTCCGCCGGCGCCGGGCGCTCAGGGGGCAGCTCTGGGCGCCTCACGGGGGTGGGCCATGCTGCCTGGCGGGGTGGGGAAGAGCCGGGGCGCGGAGCACCGGCCCGGCCCCCCGCCGCCACAGCCGCCGCCGCCCCCTCTCGGGACGTGTCCCCCCCTCGCCAAGAGCGTCGCTCCCGGAGTCGCCTCAAGCCGCCACACTGCTGAGCGCATCCGTCGGAAAACATTGGGATTCTCCCATGGTGCCCCGCGAGCGGCCGTGTGACGTCACGGCGGGGGGGGCGGGCGCTGCACCTGCACTGCACAAAGGCGGGGGCCGCAGGTGCGCGCGGCCTCGGATCTCCTCCCGCACCATGAACACGTGACTGGCGGCACGCGGAGGGACCTCCCATTCCCATTCCCATTCCCATTCCCATTCCGTCCGCTCGCGGGGCTCAGTGTGCTCCGCCTGCCCCCGCCCAGGGCTCAGGGAGCGTGTCCGGGCGGTGGGGGTGTCCCCTCGCGTCCGAAAGCGCCGGTTCCTCCCTGGCAGGATGCGCGGCTCGTCGGGGCACACGCGCATCCCGGCAGTAGGTTCCGCGGCGACTGTGTCACCTCAGACGAGGGTGAGCTCCTGGCAGAGAACCCCCGGAAAACTGGGGGGTCCGACTCGGACTGAGTAGTTTGGTTTGGGAATTCGGGAAGGGGAATTACTGTTTTTATGGAATATTTACTTCAATTACCACTGCCCCGCGGACCAGAGGCTTGTGAGTGCCCAGGGCTCCGGCAGATCTCTGGGGAGTCCTGAACTGCAAAAATCGGGAAAGCTCCTTGACCCCTTTCCCGGTGAAGTCCCGGGGAGCCGTCAGCACGTGCAGGGAGCCGGTGGGCAGCACTGAGGAGCACAGCAAACACTGCCTTTGTTAGGTGGAATTGGCATCAAGGTGTGCACAAACCTACCAAGTGGATTTCTTGGGCTGCCTCGGGAGCAGTGTCTACACGTGGGGCTGGTTGAGATTCTTCACGAGATGGGTATAGCTATGCCAAATAGCTATATTCTGACACACAAATAGTGTGTCAGAAAATTTTTCATTAATCACAGAATCCCAGTCTGGTTTGGATTGGAAGGGGCCTTAAAGTTCATCCAGTTCCAACCTCCTGCCACGGGAGGGGACACCTTCCACTAGAGCAGGCTACTCCAAGCCCCGTCCAACCTGGCCTTGAGCACTGGTAGGAATGGGGCAGCCACAGCTTCTCTGGGCACCCTGTGCCAGTGCCTCAGCACCCTCACAGGGAAGAGCTTCTGCCTAAAATCTCATCTCAATCTCCCCTCTGTCAGCTTAAAGCCATTCCCCCTTGCCTGTGACTACATGCCCTTGTAAAAATGCAATCATTCTTTCACATACATTATTATTCTTTACAGAAATATATGGAAAACATTTTGCGTATCTCACATTAAGCAAATGTGGTTTAGTCACTTCTGAAAGCAGGAGCAAACAAAGCAGTTCTGTGGGGTTGTATCTTTGTTGAATTTTGGGGGATTTAATGCAAAATTCACCACACCTATTATACTGAGAAGTGTATTTGCCTATTTTCTTTAAGCAAAGTTAACCACGTGCACACATCTCATTTGGAGTCACCTTTGGGCTACACATTCCCTGGGATTTGGTCAACTTGGTGACCTTTTGAGGAAAAGTGCTCCGTGGGTCTGCATTCAGTGTAGAGCTCGATAGGAAAACTCTTCAAAGACTCTATTTGAACAGGGGCTGATTGCAGCTGCTGGGCAGAGCCTGTCTGTGGCTTAGGGGGGAGCTGCTGCATCTGATGGGGAGCTTCAATATCAGCACAAGAACAGGGATTGAATGAAGGGTTTAAAGCAAAATATCAGTAAGGTTTGCATTCAGCATGAGCTTTCCCTTCTTCCTGTTAGTAAGGTAAATCCTAAGGGAAAAGTAGCACGTGATAGTGCAGTCTCAGTTGTAGTGTAATGCAATGGAATAAATGTGTCAAGAGCCTTCTGTAAGTTGGTTGCTTTTTGAGGGCTTAACATTCTCATCTTGACACATTTTCAGTGTCAGTTTTTGTAAATTATTCTAAGCCTTGCCTGTCAAACATATCATCATCATTCTGAAAAGACAGCTAAATGAACCATTTCTATTATGCTATAAAACATATCCAAGGAAACAAACAAATCCAAACCCCTTGTTTAAGGGATGATTTAAAAAGATCAGGGTGTATTTTATACTCCTTTCCCCCTCCGGCCAAGTTTTTGAGTTGCCAGAGTTGTCAACTTGGAGTTATTCATGAACTCTAGAAATTCCTCACGTTTTTTGACACGCATGCAGATAGCACTGCCTGGCATAGGTACTCGGCCCAGTTTTCAAACAAGAAATCTCTCCTTTATAGTGAAATAATAACCCAAATCTATTTTTAGTAGTGAGTTTTAAATGTTTTTCTCTATATAGCTTTTAGGTCATGCTAGAAAATACTGATGGTTTCTAGTGAATTCTTTGGAAGTCTGTACTAATTAGATACACGTGCCTTCTTCAATGAAGAATGATACTCATTTCTTGCATAAAATATATAGTGGAAAAGTTGTTCATCAGATTTAAGCATTCAGACAAGATTGTATTAAAATATTTTCAACTGAAGAAAATATCTCCAAGGCTGGTTTAGTGCCCTACAGAAGCACGAGATGAGGCTGACATGGTTTTCGCCACTCATGCTGATTGAAGGACACTTTATAGGGTCCTAATATACTTACAGAAGTCAGTAAAAAAAACCCAATCTGTCTCACTGTTTTAACTTAAAGCATTTTATTTCCTCTCATTCCTGCCAAACCAAGCATTGGGAGACTCAGCTGTGGAATAAATTCTAGGGGCTGCACATGCCAGTGGATGGAGCTGCCCCAAGGCTTCCTTGCTTGCTCTGGTGTGGATCATCACCATGTTTGGGGCTGAGGGTACAAGAACAAAAATAATCATGTTAAATTGTTTAAGCCTATGTTGCTAAATAATGTCTTGTGTAAAAAGTATGATTATCTGCATGTCTTCTAGTTTAAAGTTTCGCGGATGATGATGTATCTATTTGTGCTTTGCATTTGCTTCCCTTCAAGCAGGCTTCTGTGTTCCTTCTGGGCAAAGCTTTCTGACAGAAATAAATGTGAGGCAAAGACTTTCCTTCGGGTCAAAGGACCAGTGCCAAAAGGAATGGAGCATTTTCAGAGAAGTAAATCAAAGCTGATGGAGACATGCTGTAAGCAATATATTGTAAGGATATTGATTTGTGAAACTGAAATTGGAAAGAGACAAAGCCTGGTTCTACCTGTGGATGCTAAGCACCTAAAAAATTGTTCTTAAGTTCCCTTTTACTGCTTGATGTAATTCTATAATTGTCACAAACAAAAATATTTGCAGGATCAGAAGGACTATTCAGTAGACATATGAGTCTCTTTTTATTGGGTTTGTTTTCTCCCATAGCAGTCTTCTGGTAAACAAGTTGCAACATTTTCCCAGAAAGTGCAAACATCTGAGATGTTCATTTCCCTCTCAGAGGTTTTCTAGCATTTAGTATTTATAATGAAAAGTTATTATGAGATTTTTCTAGCTTAGTGGCATCCATTCAGTTGCAGAAAAATACTTCTTAAAATGAAATTCCTACACAAGGAACAAAAGAGAAAATTTATTTAGCTTGATATGCCTTCTTTTGATAAAATGTTATTTAAACGCAGTTATATAAATGCTATGCATGATTTGATGAATTTGCTTTGTGTTTAATAGACAGCTGAACTCCTGTTTCATGATCTAGTTATATAAAGAGGAATCCTAACTTGTGTTAGAAGGAATGATTCCCTGAGGAGAAAGGAAAGAGGTGAGTCATGTCAGTGCTGTTTTTCTCAAGTCAGCAGAATATTCAGCAACCTCATTTTCATTAATCTGAAGCCCACATGTGATCTCTGAGCATAACTCTGTTCTTTCTGTGCCCTTATTTAGAAAAATGAGTTTGGGATACATTTAGATTGATAGTCTCAGCTTACATGTTAAAATGGTTTTGATGACCAGAGGATGAACAGCCTTGCTTAGTGCAGTTTTCTTAAATGGGGCAGCAGAAAGCATTTGTTCTGTTGCTTCCAAATCTTAACCTATTTTTTGAGATTTTATGACAGCTTGTTGTTCATTGTGCTTACACTAACATGAAGATGAGCACTCCCGTGCTCAAAAGGCCCTTTTTTCTATTTATTTTGTGTTTGTGGGATTTTTTCCCCACAGGTGCTCTCTTAGTAAAGGCAACATAGGGCTTGTTTTGAACCTTTATTTGTTGAGACAATAAATGCCTGTCACTGAGATATAAATACCATCCAGCAGTCACAACTGTGTGAGTACAAAGAGTTGAAAGGTGTCTTCTCCAAAGCATGATGATGTAGTTGCTACCAAGGAAGGCAAATAAAAAATGAATAAGCATCAGGGATGTTTATTGGTGGCTTCATGTACATATTCACATTTAACACCTCTGATACTCAAGGGCTATTCTAGGAATCACCCATCTGATTTTCATGTTTGCTTCCTCACAGCTCTAGTGCTCACTCTGTCATTTGATAAGTGAAGGAGCAGAAAAAGAAGAGGCAGGGAAAAATGTTAAGGAAGACAGTTGGCTCAGCTGACTGCCTTCTTGATAAACAGCTCTACTCATGTAATGCCTTCTAGGTAGCAGTGGAACGACAATGAGAGGAGGAACATCTACTCCTGTGTCAGTTACTCCAAATTATGCAGCTTATAATAGTAACAGTAACATATCAGTTTATGCAGAGGGAACTTGTATCTGTGACATGCTGAGGCCAACAGGGATGTGATTGCTGTGCATAATGACTGCGTGCAAGAAGCAAGGAGAAGGCAGCAGTGTGGAACAGTGGAGGACTCCTGCAGTGCTGTCAAAGCCAGCGAGGCTAGAGGTGGTGTGCTGTGTAAGTACTGCTTGAGCTCTGAAGGGATCAAACTGATTTTCTTCCTGGTTTTGTTCCCCTTAGACTTCAATAGTCTGAGGAACAGGGGAGTATGTGCAACTTCCATAGAAGATCCAAATCTTTCTTTTTCCTGCATTGCCTTTTGGGGAATGAATATTTCTGTAGACAGATCTTTCTCTTTTTTCACAGGCACAGTGTTCTTAAGAAGGTGTATGGCTGGAAGCTCCTCATTTTTCTCTCTTTCATCCTCTTAAGTATTCCATGGTCTCTCTCAAATTTCCAAAATGAGATGTGGGAGGTCCAAAAGCCATGGCCAATGTAACTAAGACCCTGCAAGGTCCACTAATGACGTGGGGAAAATCCAATGGAGTATTTCTTGTCACATTTGTAAAGTAAGTGCACAGGTCTGAGACTTCAGGGTAATAGAAATAGCCCAGAGGAACTGATGTTTATTGTTAATATACAAAATGCAATGGAGACCTCATAGCAGCCTTCCAGTATCCAAAGGGGGCTTATAAGGATGCTGGGGAGGGGCTCTTCATTAGGGACTGTAGTGACAGGACAAGGGGTAATGGTTAAAACTTAAACAGGGGAAATTTAGATTGGATATAAGGAAGAAATTATTTCCTGTTAGGGTGATGAGGCACTGGAATGGGTTGCCCAAGGGAAGCTGTGAATGCTTCATCCCTGCTGGTGTTCAAGGTCAGGCTGGACAGAGCCTCGGGTGACATGGTTTAGTGTGAGGTGTTCGTGCCCATGGCAGGGGGTTGGAACTGGATGATCTTAAGGTCCTTTCCAACCCAACCCATTCTATGATTCTGTGATCCCAGAAGAAGTTTACCACTGGAGTTAGGAAACCACTTTGGAGCACTGCATCCTCCTTCGGCGTGCTTAACGGGGAGAGAGCTCCTGAGCGGCACCTCAACGGGCGGCCCAGGCCCCAGGCCCAGCGGCGCCCTCTCAGGGGAGCTCCGGGCTCACCGCCCGTGGGACGGGACCGCGCTCCAGCGCGGCCGGCAGGGGGCGCCGCCCCCCCGGGGTCGTCACCGGTTGTGACGGCCGCCGCGCGAGAGTCCCGCTCTGCCGCGTGCCTCAGCCGCCGGGCTTCACCTCAGCGCGGCGGGTGCCGGCCCCGGCGGTAGCGGCAGGACCGGGACGTGGCTGCAGGCACATGTAACGCTGTAGGTATTGTTAGTGGGTAGTTTGATCACTGTGACTTTGTTTTCTTTTAATGAGGGGAGGAGGGACGGCTGCTTCCCCAGCGATTTCCGAGCACCTGAAGCTGTGATGTTTAGCCCTTTGATTGCTAACAATCCACAGGAAAATAGATTATTTCTGTCTTAACTGAATTTTGTAAAAATCTAGGGCTTTTCTTCACACTCAGAACAGCGCTAGCGAGGGGCTTGCAACAGCCCGGGTCCTCAAGTGCAGCTTCAACAGCACTGGTGAAATAAGCACGAGGGAGCTGTGGACAATTGCAGGTCACCCTCCTCCCTCCCTTTGTGTGCCCAGCAAAGCAGAGGTGTGGGAGGAAGCGTTTGCCTCCACTGACACTGTCGGGCAAACGGCTGTCCTCCATCCCTTGCTTCTCAGGCTGTCATCCTGAAGCTGTTACAGGCATTAACAGCTGCTGTGGCAGGTTTGGTGCTGTTGTGTGTGACTCCTTTCCCCATTCAGCCAATTGCAGTATGTCCAGAGCCCTTCTTTTCTTCACCAGTTCTCGTGTGCCATGCCTGAAGTACCTGAGGTCTTCACCAACACATCCCTTTCACGGATCACTTGTGTCTGTCAGCTTTTCATAGATACTACTTCCATATTATTTTATGGTTTGAAATCACTTGAATGTATTGAAGAAGAAATGCTGGAAGCTATTTGACTTGGTATAGTAAGTGGGGAAAATCCTTAAGTGGCTAAAAGTTAGCATCTGCTACTAATTTATTTTGTTTTATTATTATTATTAAAAGGAAAAAAAAAAGCCTTTTTGCCGCTTGCTGATGAAGATCTGACCTCAGTAATTGTGATCACTTTGTCCCAAGCACAGGAGGCCACATGCTTGGGAAGGAACTGTGGTGTTGAAGGCTTCCTTCTAAGCTGCAATGTGATCCCTTACACTACTGGAGAAAGCATGAAACAATGTTTGCATAGGTGCTGGAAATGAATGCATGCATTGCTCAGGTTTAGCCATAGCCGCTTATATACTAGCTTATATACTAGCTTACTATAGTTTACATAGTCTGTATTTTCTCTATTATGGAACACTCATTAGGATGTATGGAGCAATGAGCAGCTGAGGAAATCATATTTGTACACACTTCAGGTATTACTAATCACCAGAACACCCCTACATTTAGTACCTTATGTAAGTTTCTGTTTATATCGGCATGTTTCAATAAGACCAACATAAGCAGTGTTATCAGAAAACATACCATGTGCAGGTTGCTGCAGCTCCTGTGCTTTTCATATATCTCACTTCATTGGATCTCAGCTTCCATCTCTTAGAGGGTGACTCATAGGGAACCACAGTGCAAGGGAGACAAATACATTGTAATTGTGGTAGTGATGCCTGCTTTCTCCGTGCAAGTGGTAAATTGCTTAGACAATAAATGGATATTTATTAATAACTATTTTGAGTGGTTACATTCCATAGGAAACAAAATATATAGGAAGAAGAAAAACCTTTGTTTTGGTTATGCTTTGCTGTTAGAAGTGTTTGTATTTTAGAAACAACACAGCTCAGTTTTTCAGGGGTAAGTTTGGGTAACTTGTACCCTTACCAGAGGTGCCCTTTCTTTTTATTATGTATTGTATTCAAACAGTACATTCTGATTCAGATCTCATCTTGCTGCTACCAAATCTGGGATAATTTCAGTGTACAACTTCAAAAAATTAATTCAAATAAGGAAGATCATTCAGTTGTCAGCAGAAGCAGAAAAGATAAAATCGGCATTCTGTGCTAATTGGGTGAGAGGTGAGGAATTTCTGATGTAGAATTGCAGGAAAAAATTCTGATTCCACTAATGTTAGTATAAGTTTCAACACTTCAGTGGCATTTTGATATCATCTGTATAATCAGTTTCATTTCTTGTGTAACACAGGACTTTGGCTGGTCCTGTGTTTTCACAAATTTCACACAATTAGTTAAAATACTTTGGGGGACAGTGTTATATGAAGCTAGTGACAGCACTTTCTTCAGTAGATTACAGTTTGCTTGGGGATCTGGAATCTAGTGAAGACCATAATAATAATAGGGATTTATGAGCATCTCATGGAAGACACAACCTCGTAATTGGTAACTAACTTGGGCTGGTCTTCATGGGAGGAAATATCAGAAGTCTAGAGTTGATCAGCAGCTGAAGACAAGAAAATGAAAGATTGAGTTGGTTAGAACTCACAATAAGCAAGGTCCGGGTTAGCAGAGCAATATCAGTTCTGAGACTGCAGTTGTGTATTACATGATTCCCCAGCAATTGTAGTCACTGGTCCCAGTTCTCATACTCAACTACTATATGGTCTAACAGAAGAATCAATTGAGCCGCAGTGTGCAGAACTGATTTAAGAGAACTAAGCTTGCTGTTTAAGCTACTCCAGCAAGGAGTGTGGTGGTCACTCTATGGTACCCATTTTTTCTTCTCTGAGTGCTTCTGTGTGTTACCTAGTTTTATGTATGTCTGCAATAGAGTAAACCTTTGGATGGTTCCATCCATTCAATTTCCTGCTCACCAATAACTGAATCAGGAGTTGAGAGGGGAAAGAGAATAGCTACAAATAAATTCCAGGAAATCTTAGTTTAATTTTAAGGAAAACTAGGACTGAATGCTATTCCTACATTGTAAAGTTACTGCTTTCTAAGAGGTGAAGTAAGGATTTATGTGCTGTTTTGCATCCTCATTTAGCCAAAATAAGGATGCGCAGGAAGATGATTGCTGTGAAGGTTGTGCTTCTGCTCTTTTGCAGCTGTAGTGAGTCTTTTGAAAAACCATTCTTCAGCAAAAACTGAGCTAACTTTTTTACTTTTTAAGTATAATTTTGACAGTTGTGTATGTTGCCATGACAGCAAGCGATCTGATACCAATCTACCACTGTACTGCAGTTCAGTATGCTGTTTCCTAATGGTGCAGATGCCATCTTGCTGCAAATTTGGGAAGGGCAGGCTTCTTAGCAATTTAAACATAACTTCTTTGAGGGACAGAGGTAGTGGGGTTTTTTTCTAGGATCAGTTCTAATACTAAACTTTTAATCTGAAAAATTAGACCAAGATGGAATTAGATGGATATTCTGTTCCATTACTTCAAAGCTGAAGACTATAACATTACCATAAACAAAGTCAGAACAATTTAATCGTGGAAATTTCTGTACTGAAGTTCTATTGTAAAACACACCCTTTGCCAGTCTTGCTTCCAAACAGCAGTAGACTAATCGAGTGAACACCTTCAGCTTATGCAGCTTTGATTTCAGGTATTTTGGAAACAAATCCTTTACCATCTTTATTCAACAAGTAAAACACAGATCTTGCCTCTCATACTTTCCGTGAGGTCAAAATTCAGATGCTTGTTACAAAGCACCTTTCTGGGCCAAGTGCCACACTGGAATAAAAAATGCAAGTAGGATTTTACAAATGCTATTTCTGATAAACTTATTAAAGATCCAAATTCTGGACCAGATCTTATGAGCATGTAAGAGTCAGTTAATTAACATTTTAAAGGAAGGAGTCTTTCTTCACTAGGATTACTGCATCTTTAAAACACAAGAATCTGAGAGTACATTTACATGAAGTGGTGACTTCATAGTAATTTGGTTTGAGAAATTCTGTTTTGCTGCTTGTCCTGTGCATTGTAGTTTGCTGTCTCCTTCAGTTGTGCCAATATAGTTGTGGGATTGTAGCATAAACTGAATCAATGAAAAGGTGAAAGTTAAAAACCAGCCCCTTCAGTGCTGCCTCTAACCTGGCTTATGTCAGTGATTAGATTTTCTGTATGGTCAAATGAAGAGTTGCCTCAGCAAAACAGGCAGGGTTGCAAGTTACAAGCTCAGTAGTGTGTGTTGTGCAAGAATGATTTATGGCAAATTCCTCCTACCCTGTAATTACATCAAAAGTGACATTCTAGCAAAGCAGTCTCATCACTCACCAGCAAATTCAGGAAACACTGAAATGCTGTGGAGTGGACTTAAGGAAGTATTATGTATGTATTTGAAGGACATCATTGGCTGTGGCTCTGAACTTGTACACTGTGAGGCCAACAGCCCCAACTGCATCCACTGTTTCCAAGCCCTTTGCATAAACTAATACAAAGCCAGAGCAATAAGAAAAATCCACGTACTATCAGACGCTGGTCTGACAGCCATGTGTTTGTAAACATTGGGAAGTTTTAGCCATTTGAGTACTGTGCAAGTGTACAGCGGTGTTATTTAATTAGGAAAGAATGCCAGTTTATACTGGAAACACCAGGAACTGTACTAAAAGGAGAGACATTCTATATTCCTCCTGGGTTTTAACCTGCCTTTTCCTACCCAGTGCAACAAGGAGCTCTGGTTAAGGCCATAGGGAGCTCTTTAAAATTATAATTGGCAGCCTGCAATCCTTTGTGCTGTCAAGGAAATCATGGAGCTAATGGATGATACTGCAAGCACTCAGTAGTGGTTTTAAGCTCAGCAATTTATGCTTTATTTGGCTGAATAAATATCTGATGGAGCTGAGAGAATACACTGATGAAACATTATTGTGCAGAGGAAACTACTGATGTGCCTGCCAAGGAGGCATAGAATTACGTAATGATTTTAGAGGGTCATTTTGCCATTTGGTCTTCATTTCTGCATCTGAAATAACAAATACCAAAGTTTAATTTATCTTTAGTAAGGCATTTTACAGCAGCAGTGTTAACATGCCAATGGTTATGAAAATGTGTCAGTTACTTTGGGCAGAGGGTAATAGTTTCTCAGACTGTCATATACCAGGACTTCAGAGGTCTTGAAAAAGTCATCTGTGACAGAATTAAAATCATAGAACAGTTAGGGTTGGAAAGGACCTTAAGATCATCCAGTTCCAACCCCCCTGCCATGGGCAGGGACACCTCACACTAAACCATATCAACCAAGGCTCTGTCCAACCTGGCCTTGAACACCGCCAGGGATGGAGCATTCGCAACCCATTCCAGGGTCTCACCACCCTTACAGTAAAGAACATCATCCTTATATCCAATCTAAACTTCCCCTGTTTAAGTTTTAACCTGTTACTCCTTGTCCTGTCACTACAGTCCCTAATGAAGCATTCCTATAGCCCCCCTTCAGATACTGGAAGGCTGCTATGAGGTCTCCACGCAGCCTTCTCTTCTCCAGGCTGAGCAGCCCCAACTTTCTAAACCTGTCTTCATATGGGAGGTGCTCCTGTCCCCTGATCATCCTCGTGGCCCTCTTCTGGACTTGTTCCAACAGTTCCATGTCCTTTTTATGTTGAGGACACCAGAACTGCACACAATGCTCCAGGTGAGGTCTCACGAGAACAGAATAAAGGGGCAGGATCACCTCCTTTGACCTGCTGGTCACACTCCTTTTGATGCAGCCCAGGATACAGTTGGCTTTCTGGGCTGCAAGCGCACACTGCTGGCTCATGTTCATTTTCTCATTGACCAATACCCCCAAGTCCTTCTCCACGGGCCTGCTCTGAATCTCTTCTCTCTTGCCTTAGAATCCAGGAACTTCACAAACTATTATGTAGTTATGTTATTGTGATGAGAAGTACAGTCAGACTTAACCAAATTTTTACTTTATGTAGGATTTTAAAGACATAGATGTTTTCTCAACAGAATATCCCAAATCACCTAAATAGTTTTGGATTAGAATAGTAATTGCTAAAAGCTAGGTAGCAGTCTGTCTTCATCTGTAGCTATTCAAATGTGTTTAGAAGCCTTCTACTCCTGTCCCAGATTATGCAGTGAAGAGCTGCAGAGCAAAGACATGACTGGCCTAGTTGTCCTCCCACTACCAAATCAAGCAGACACCAAAGGCAGGCATATATATAATGTTTCCACCCAATGCTTCTCCAGCTGTTTTAAGTTTCCTGTGCTGGATGTGTATGTACATCACACCATAGATCTGTCCCGGATTCTTGGCTGGCCTCCCCATAAATCCTTGAAAATTTCCTGCATCCACAATATGTTTTGACAAGGAGTTCTGTAGCCTTGCCACATGTTTTGTGAAGGACCACCACCTCGTGTTTGTTTTGATACTGGCCTTTGCTCGCTTTGTTTACTCTCCTTTAACTTCTTTTGTTTGAAGACATTTTGTTCTAGATCATCTCTGTTACTCCTTTGCATCATTTTTTTTCTCCATCTTTTTCCATTCTGTTTTGAGAGGAGGAGGTCTGGCTTCACACACAATATGCAGGGTGATGGTGAATCATGCATATATGGAGTGGCAATATAATGTTGTCTGTTCCTTTCTGAGTAATTCCTTATTTGTTTGTTTTTTAACCACTCTTCACCACTGAGCTGTCATTTTCCTCGTTACATATCAGTCACAAGACATGTTTCTATAACAGTAATGACTGTTCAGAGCCATCAGTTAGAATCTGTTTTTTCCTAGATACACTGAAATCTCTTCATTGAATTTCATCTGTCATGTTATGGTGCAGTCACCTATTTAATACAGTTTCTCTGAAACTTTTCGCAACTGGTCCTTGGTTTTGTCATCCTGAGTCATTTTGTATCTCAGTAAATTTTCTCACCTCTTTGTTCACTCCCTTTTCCAGGTTATTTATGCGCATACTGGGGCAACACAGATCCCATTCCATCATTTTAAAATATTTGCATCCCCATGTAGGAATGTGTCCCCAGTTTGGCAGTGTGAGAGCAGGGGACTGAGCCTCCTTTTCAGACTAGTATTATAACCACTGCCCTGCCTTCTTGAGAACTAGGTTTAAATGCAAATTTCTATGTTTATGATCAATTAAGGTTGAATTCAATAGGAATCAAATAGAAAGGCATTATAAGAAATGAGGGTTGGAATAAAATATTGTAGAAACAGCCTTTCATTTTCTTTCAGTATTGTAGGTTGATATTGGGTGAGTTTTGTGGGTTGCTTTTTCTTTTAAGATTACTCTTTCCTTGGGATCAATCTTCAAAATTCTTCCCAGAGATGTACCCGTCTTCCCATTGCCCATTGTGAAAGAGCTGTTATTTCTTGTGTTCAACAAAAGCACACACCTGCTTACCTTTCCATTAACAGAATTATTCTATTACCTCTTCATACCAGGCAGCTGCACAGCTGTTACTAGATAAAATAGTCATTTCACCAAATATTCCTGTTCTTAGGAGGATGTTGAAGGCTGGGGGAGTAATTAGTAGACTTAGCAGTAAGTGAAAGGTGCTGAAGGTGACAGGAAGAAAGGTAGTAGTACTACCAGGAGAAAAGGTTTCTTTGCTGTTGTTTGATGAACTTTGTGGATATTGATAGGCTTTCTTTGTTGTGGGTTATTAGTTCAGCATTCTCTGCAGCCATCACACAGTGTTTTCTTTTCATTGATCAATTACCTTAAAAATAAAATCTAGGTCTGCAAGTAGTGTAGGGGAGCTTTCTGCTTTAAACTGCTCTCCAAAGTCATATTTTGTCCGTATCCAACTTACCAGATAAGACAAATAGTTGTACTTTTGGGTTCAGTCTTATGAGATATTAAAGATCCCCAGTGTCATAGATTTTTTGATACTCCAAACACTGTAGATTCCATTCTTATCTTTAGCTTCCTGCTGTGAAGTTGGCAAAGTTTGAAACACTGTGATCGGTATAGGTGGTTTGGCTCTTGGAGGCCAGTGAACTGACCATTTCTAGCAAAAAGGAACTGAAATAAAAAGGGTGATAACTGTCAAGTCTGAAAGGGTCAGGGGACGTGTTGTGCACACAAATTTACTGAAGTAGCAGGTACAAGAGTAAGAAAGTAAAGAAACTAAACTAAGTGGGCATCCTGAGACTCTTCATTCCAATTGCTGCCTCAGGTTTTTTCCATGCATAGAATCATAGAATCACAGAGTAGTTTGGGTTCGAAGGAACTTTCAAAGGACAACTAGTCCAACCTCCCTGCCATGGGCAGCAGTATCTTCAACTAGACCAGGTTGCCCAAACCCATATCCAGCCTGGCCTTGAATGTCTACAGGGATGGCACACCTACCACCTCTCTGAGCAACCTGTGCCAGTGTTTTACCACCCTCATTGTAAAGAATTTCTTAATCACATGCAGCTTGAATCTCCCTTTTTAGTTTAAAATTATCACCCCTTGTCCTATTGCGACAGGCTCTACTAAAAAGTCTGTTCTCATCTTTCTTAGAGGCCCCTTTTAAGAACTGAAAGGCCACAGATAAAGCGTGTCCATACAACATATTGCAGAAAATAATACCCGGAAGTTTCCATAACTGCCTGACCATGCTCAGGAAGAGGCTTCTGCCAAAGGGGCAGCCCTCACACAGGGGTCCTAGCTCCTGCCCTCTGCCTCTCACTTCTGGGTCCTGGGTGCCCCCTCGGCTTCCCAAGGCTTCTTCCCTGCAACGAGGCCTCCAGCACCTCTGCACAGCACCACAGTCGCCATCCCGCACCTCTCCAAAACCAGCTATGGGAAGCCTTTATTGATGAGCTGAGGAAATGCTCCCAAGGTAGGGGGTAGAGTGAGGAATACAAGGGGCTCCCACAGCCAAGTGCCTCCTCCTCCTCCACACACACACCAGCCACCTTCCTGCTCACCTTTCAGCAATGCTGTGCTGAAATCCATACTGCACTGATGACTTTGCTGTGCTTATGAGAGCTTGTGTGTCCTGTTTTTCAGGAATTCGTGCAATACATATATAAATTCTGCTCCAAAGCTAAGTCTTTTACTAGGGTCAACTTGTGCCACTCTGATCTCATTGAAACAAAGAAAGATAGAGATGAGCCAGTTTTGCTTATTTTACTCTTTAAGGGAGTATAAAAGAACTCGGGTCTTTGTGTTTTTGTATGTTTTAATTCTGGATCACTAGCAGTGATCATACTAAGTCTTTAGGCCTTGACCCTGCAGGAGTACTTAACACAATAGGAATAGTTCTTCCCTCTGCAGCTTCTGTTTTATGTTGGAATTTGTATTTTTTCCTTCAGGTGCTGTTCCAGCCAAGGATGCAATTCTTCCTAACATATTACAGAACCTCTGTGGTTTCCAGTTTCACTTACAAGGTTGGTTCTGGTGGATTTCTTTTTTTATTCCCTCTCATCTTCCTTAGCAACTTTGAAATGTGTAGCTGTCCACATCCTTTCCACTTGTGGAATGTTACAGACCACAGGAAGAATTGCAACTTTTAGTCCTATAGAGCTCATAAGTTCAGTGCTGGTTTAAACATATATAATGATATTAATGATTACAAGAGAGCACACTCTGAAGCCATTTTCCTAAATAGCATCACCATGAAAATAATATCAAATCAAGTATCTTATCTGCATTTGCTAACACTTTAATCACTGTAGTGGTTTCTTACATTTTTTCCCTTTATCCTGTTTATATCTTTTTAAAATAGGTAATTCATTTTAATTTGATCCATTTCAGATTTGTTTTACTCATCAGGTTCATGATGTGGGGCTATTGTTCTAAAAGCTGCTTGTTGGATACATTTTTTGTTTTTACAGACACTTGCATGGTAACAACTGGAACTCATTTTCAGTTCCATCTTCAAATATTTAAGGAATCTCTGTTAATACTGGATTTTTCTTTTTTAAATTATGTTACAAATCCTACAGTATGGGTAGAAAAGTAGAAATAAATCATGTTTTTAAAAAAGCTGTAGAGAAAAGCTTTCTGAAAGGTTAAGAAAACAAAGTTCTATATCTTAGAAAGAAATCACGGTGGAGTACTCCTTGATTTTATTTTCTTCTTGGTCACACAGTCAAGTTGAACACTGGCAGCAGCAGAGGTCCTGTGTTTTTATGTCCTAGTGTTGCGCTACTCTAAAAATAATCCAGGGTATTTGTTTCATTACCCTGAACTTCCACTCTGACTTGGCACTGTAATCAAATGTGGGTTAGTTGTTGTCTGGGGTGCTTCATATTTTGACAGTAAGGAAAGGCATGATTGACTTGGATGTTCCCTTTCAGAATTTCCCTTTCAGGTAGGGTATTCTGACTTGTACTTTTTGCACTCATAAATTTACCATGAAATTCTTAGAGACAAACACTTGGCCATTCAGTTTTGGAAACATACCTAAATGTACTTTTTTAAAAGGATCCCTACAAAACATACAAATTCAAGTGAGCATGTTTAACAGTTACTTTTTGTCTTGTTTTTGGCTGGGGTGTGGTATGTACAGGTTCCAGGCAGCTGCATTTGCTGGCTGTATGTTGGGCTGAACTTCCTAAAGAGGGTCAGTCCAGTGAACCAGAACTCTCCACATGCTTTATCTCTGCCTTCAGCCTCCCAGGATTTTCCCAGGGCTCTGCATTGTCTTTATATGAAGCTCCTATGTGGAAAGCTTAGGGAAGGGGAAAGGACTGCTGATGCCAAGTCTGGTATATGACTCATGTTTTGAGCACAGTATGATAGTACAGTTTTAATAGCCCAGAATAAGCACACATTTTGTAATGCGGTCCTCTCAACTGGGAAGTCTGGATGGAGCAGAAGGGAATGGTTTTCTCCTTGCACCACCATTTGTAGGATGAGGAAAAAACCTGGCACAACTGGAGTTTGTTAAAGAGTCAGAAGGTCCCCTGTGTTGATGCCAACCGGTGAGACTCCTAGTATACTAAAGCATCATTAAATGTCTTAATTTGTTCTGCATAATTCCAGTCACATCGATATTTGCATTTATGGAATTAATTCCTTAAGAAATAACAAGTCAGTGCAGAAGGCTGAAGCAAACACAGGTGCCTTCTCTCTCCTGAGACCTGATAATTCCTTGGTAGATAACTTTACAGACTCTGACCCCAGCTTTCTTCATATCCACTGACCAGCTCATGTATCTGGAAAAGGTGACAGTCTGGTTTTGAAACAGCTTCACAACAATTTATCAAACAGGCAGGAATGTGATCATACTCAGCAAGGGAAAAGAAGGAATATGACAGTTACTTGCCACCTTGTCTGCATCAGGAATTACCCAAGTCTATGCCTTAACTCCCCATCTACACCTCAGTGAGTTGTTAAAGATGTAAGGTCAAAAAGTCTGGAGACATAGTAAAATGCCAAGTTCATCCTCATTCAAACATTTTTTTTACTTTCTGATTCATATTCAAAATGTCAGCTCTGATGAATTGTAACTAACGGTGTTTCAAGCTCATTTCTACAAGCGCTTGCAAAGAGATCTGTGTATTAGGTGAGATCCTCTTTGTCAGAAGCACTTTTTTTTTCTGTAAGTTGTCTCTGACTACAGGAGCAGCTGAACATTGTGATTATTCTAACGGACTGCAGCCTGCAGAGGTTTTTGGTCAGACAGCCACTAGAGAGCACCATGTGATTGTATCTTTTCCAAGGTAGGGCGTGGGAGCCCATTAGAGACCTGCAGTGTAAATCAAATACAAAAGGCATTTTCCACATTTCTAAAGAATCCTCTTGTGTTTTGCACATATATTAAGACAAGGTGTTAGCACCTCTGGCATTTCGTTTTACACACTTACTACTTTTGCTGAGGACTTCTTACATCGACTTTTAATTCTTGCTTGAGTTTCACAGGGATCTGCAATGTAGCAAGGAAAAGTCCATGACAGTAATCAGTGTATGGGCTATTCTAGCCTTAAGACTGAATGACTGCTGTATAGATAATTTTTAGTGATATCAAAGGATGAATGCTGTATAGATAATTTTTAGTGATATCAAAGGATGAATGCTGTATAGATAACTTTTGGTGAATCTAGTTCTATTTTAGCTTAGTTCTTAGAAAAACTTTTACCTCAAATCCTCATGATTCAGCAAACCATGAATGGAGTGGATAATACATAAACTCTTATACTCAATATATAACTCAAATACATAAACTCTTAGAAATGGTAATTTAAAGGAAAAATGCTGCATGAATGAATCTGCTTCTTTCTTCCTGGTTTTGGTATTTGATGTTTCCTTATCTGACCAACACAATTTTTGTAATCTCACAAGGCCCTCTCCCAAACTCCCACAGAAAACTGTGTTATTAATTTCTTTTGAAGTACCTGTGTCTTGAGGTGTTTTTTTCTGTTTTCATACTGCCTTCTGAAATCATCTGTCAGAGACCTTGCTGTGTTCATGCATTATGCTTTTAAAGCTCTTCTGTCCTTTTTGGGAGGACTTTGTCATTGATGTCATTGATATCTTCCAGCTTATTGTATGAGCAGAAGGTGGAGAGACTTAACTTAAAACTTGGCAGTGATTGTGGAAGAAAACATATTCCTAGGAGGTAAGGAGCAGCCCAGAAGTCCAGAGTTTTCCATTAGCAGGACTGCAGTTCCTTTTACAGCAAGTGATTAGTGCGGCTGTGGTCAGCAAAAGACGTGTTGCAGAATGGTGTTTCCTTACTTAACACGTTGGTGCTGAGAGGCGAGCCAAATATTAGACTGAATTTTACTTCTGTCAGTATTATCAGTTCAGAGCAGCTGTAGGAGAATAAACTGGATTCAGAAGAGATTAAATATGAGGGCCAGCTGTGTAAATTGAACACACAGTGATGTGAAAGATTCTACCCATGACAATGGTATTCATCACATAGGAACCTAAATAGATCAGACAAAAAAAAACCCTACCTTGAGTTGCAGATCCCCAGCTGAGTTTGCCAGCCTGTTTGTGCCAGTGTGAAACTTGAGAACTTCACTTAGCAGATTTGGTTTGAAGTACTCAATGATAAAGCCCACATTGAATCAAATGATTAAAAAAATCTAATCAGAGTCACAGGTGTCCCTGTATATTTGTTTGTTCTTTTTTGTAGTCGTTCTTCCCCAGTTCTGAAGAAACTTCATGAGAGAGACTGTATGTTTATTTACTTTTACAGTATCCAACTGCTTAGCTGGGAGGTCATATGGAAAGCATTGCTGGCTTTAAATCCCGTAATGAAACGTAAAAATTACTCAAACAATTTCTTGAAACTATTTACAATAAACAACGTTCAGATTATGGTCTAACTGAATGAAGAAGTGTGAACAGTTTATTAAAATCCATGACCTCTCCTAGTAGTTAATAGATCAGCAAAGGTTTGTGGGTCACGCCCTTGGAACAGTGCTTTTATATATCCCCTAGTGATTAGAGCGTATACTTAGGTGATTGATTTGGATGTTTGCATTGACTGGTGTGCAAATGAACCGAAGTTTGCATTTAACTCTTCATTCTTTATCTTCTGTCTTGGCTTTGGTCATGCATCATACCGTATAGCATCTTCTATTTTATTTTGCTTATAAACATCATACTCCTAAGGTATTCTGGCTCCAGCCAGAAGTAAGAAAGAATATATATGGTTTGTATTATCCTATGCATCTCATAACGGTGGAAAAAAAATCACTGCCTACACACTTCACATTACTGCTTTTTCATTGAATCACTTTTATGTTCAGAATTAGCTACAAGTACTGAAATTGGGATCTGTTTCAGAATTTATAGCTAATGAATCTTTATGACTTAAAATACATGGAGCTGTTTATGGTCGAAGGTGTGCAGGCAAGTATGTGAAAATCCATTAATACAGAAAAGGTTTAAAAAAAGAAAAATTAAAATTTTGCCTTAATTTCCCCAGGAAGTAGATATCCAAACATATTGGGTGGGTCTTGCAGGTGATGCTCCAGTCCTCACAGGGCCAGGAGAGAAACATTTCCCCAACCTCTGCAAATTGCTGAGGACTCTGGTGCTTTCTTTTGTCAGCCTTGATTATATCCAAACTTTTAACATGCTTGTGACTTAGGGGAAGAAATGATGCTCAATTGAAATATTTGTAATTGCATTTAGATTACTCTGTATGAATTCTCCCACCTGTTTTCTCGGACTCAGCAGAGATACTTTCTAGGAATTTTATTGAAGGCTCTCTGAGAATTATCAATGATGCTTTCTGGGAATTTCTTCAATGTGTTTTAGAAATGCCCCCCAAGTGCCATCTAGGAATTCCCAAAAAAAACTTTCCAGGAATTTCCCCAAAGTTTTCAAGGATTTTTGGGATGCTTCTTTGTGACTACTCCAGTATTGGGGTTTGTTTCCAGTGTGGTAGCCAGAGGTTAAATTCTGCAGCAGAAGTTTTTGCCTT